GGGGCTTGGCAAAGTCTTTCTGTGTCTTTGGTTCCTCAACCTTTAGATCTGTCCTTCTCAACCTGTGGGTAGTGACTCCTTTGGAGTTTGAACAATCTTTTCACAGGGGTTGCCTGAGACCATCTGAAAACACGGATGTTTACATTATGATTCATAACAGTAGGAAAATTACAGTTATGATGTAGCAGTGAAAATAATTTTATGGTTGGGTGTCACTACAATATGAGGAACTGTGTTAAAGGGTTGCAGCATGAGGAAGATTGAGAAAGACTGATTTAGATGGTTTATAATTATTTATCTACCACATAGGTTTATAGCAGAATTCAATATTGACATAAATACATGAGAAGTATTTAGCAGAATACCTGCAACAGCCACTCGCGGGGCACATCTGGGTGTGATGTCTATAGACTTTTGAACATCTGGCATCACCACTCAAGAATGAGTTTCCTAGCAGAACCTGCAATGATGGTTTTGCCTTGCAACACTGTTGTCTTCTTATGTCATCATTTGGTCAAATGTCCATGGCTGTCTCTGTCCTGCCCTGACGTCTTTTGTCTGCCATTGTGGTTCCCTGAGGTTCTAACACAGTCTTATTCAGTTATCTTTTCTCTCGGGCCCTCTCTTCACACATGATGGCCGGTCAAGACTCTCTTGTCCTACCACCATCATACCCCCACAAAAATGTCTTCACATTATTGGTCAACTGAAACCACTATTCCATTTGCTGTAGGTATTGCAAATGATTGCTCAGTTAAAAAAACTTATGGTTACTGTGTGTGCACTGTGTGTGTGTGGGCATGCATGTGTGTATGTGTGTGCATGTGTGTGTGTGTTTATGTGTGTGTGTTCAGTGTGTGTGTGTGTGTCTTGGGCTATATATCATAGTATAGATGTGGAGGTCAGAGTACAGATTTGAGGAGCTAGCTCTCTTCTCCCTTTTCATGGGTTCAGGAGACTTAACTCAGGCCACTAGATATTTGCATGGCAATCATCTTTATCCACCAAGACTCCTTGCTGACCTACTTGGTCAAATTTTGTAAAAATCATTTAGTTATTTATAGTGTTGGGGCCTTTTGCTTGCAAGACAATCATTCTACCATGGAATGAAATTCTCAATCCTCTTTATATATGTGCCTTTAAACAAATGCCTTTGAGAGCCAGGGAGTGGTGGTGACGCCTTTAATCCCAGTACTGGAGTACAGGGGGAGGGGAGCAGAGGCAGGTGGATCTCTGAGTTCCAGGCCAGCCTGGTTTCCCTTCCTCCCTCCCTCCCTTCCTCCCTTCCTCCCTCCCTCCCTTCTTTCTCTCTCTCTCTCTCTCTCTCTCTCCCTCCCTTCCTCTCTCCCTCTCTCCCTCTCTCCCTTCCTCCCTCTCTCCCTCTCTCCCTCCCTCCTTCTCCCCCCCTCCCTTCCTTCCTGTCAGCCCTTGCATGGTCAGTCTAAGGTCTGAGTTTTAGCTAGATTATTATAGTCTATGGAAAGAAAGACTCTGATTTCCTGGAGGTTCAGTCCTCCAGGGATTCTTTGGATACAGTCTCTGTCTGGAGGAGGCACCACTTGAATAGAGGAAGAAAGCAGACTTGGCAAAAAAGAAGTCTGCTTTGCTTTGGGGTTGGTGGGCCAGGAACCTGCAGCCCCTACCCTACTTCCTGATCCCTAATTGGACTGAAAATGACTGACACAGTCCAGTCTGTTAGACCTGACTTACAGGTGTCCCCCTACAGGAAGAGGAAGAGGAACAGTTTTGTTCAAAGTGAAATTAGGTACGTCAGGGCCACAGGTGTCATCTTGTACAGTGTGGTGTGGGTCCAGTTCCTTAGCTGAGGGACTTTAGCTCTAAGGGTTGAGCTTCTGGCGTGAACCCAGGCATGTTACTGTGGGAAGGGCAACGCTATCACTGTGTGCATAGACAGTGGATTAACATCTGCCAGGGTTCATGCTCACAGAACCCTCTCTATATAGTGAGGGGGCTTCTCATCTCAGCCCAGAAAGAAAACCAAAACCAAAACAAACAGAATTCCTGGTCCTATCAGAGGCCATCTGGCTGACAGAGAGGTAGCCATGTCACTGCAGAGGGCTCCAAAAGAGAAATCTCCAGAGGCCAAGTGAACAGGTCAGCAGACTTGGCCACCCAGAAGGTGACCCTAGAACAGTGGTTACTCTATCTGAACCTGAACTTCTCCAGAGTCCAACCGAATCACAAAGAAACCAAGAGGACAAAGAGGCAAGTGGGTGCTGGCTCTTGTCAGATGAGAGACCCGTTATCCCTGGTGTTATCAGAAGACAGATAGATGGTGGCCAGCTCCACCAGGACACCCATCTGGGGGCAGGAGGGGCAACTATAACTGCCGAGTTGTTCAGGCCTAGATATTGCAATACATTTTGTTGTCCCTCTCACTGGGGTCTGGCAATGACTTGGCCTTCACAGTCAAATTTTTCCTGCTTCTTGTGAAGATCCTAAATGTTGGTTGGGAGCTACATTGTGCCTAGAAGCTCAGAACATGTAAGCTAAATATGTTGGTGAGACTGGAAAAAACTGGGCCACCCTGCTACCCTTTGTCCCCCAAAAGGCCAGGCGTACCCCATATCGAGAATTTCATAAGACAGAAATTGCCAACCCTTCCCTGCTCAAGTCCTTACAGGCCCTGCTGCAGACCCAGAGGGCGATTCGTCAGATGGTTCAAGAGACCCAAGAGACCGAGCCCTTGCCCAAGTCTGAGCCTGCCCACAAATTGCAGTCTGGCAATCTTGTGTGAGTAAAGAGAATCCTGACCCAGAGGCTGGAGCCAGCGTGGAAAGGCCTATACCCTGTGGTCCTCATCGTACCTACAGCAGTGACGGTCACCAGTGTCACCTTGAGGACCCACCACATGCAACTGAAGGAGGCTACGGAAGATAACACAGATGGGCTGTCACCGGGTTCTCTGGCCCCCTAAAGATAAGACTGACATGAGGTCTATGATTATTGTCCTATGTTACCTTTTTCTTTATTCCCTATGGTAAAGACCACAAACTCCCATTAGTTAGGGTCTTGGGTATGAAAATTAAGAAAGACTGGAACTGGAGAGTTCATAGAAACTCCACTTCTAACTCTAACAACTTTAAATGAGACCAACCTAAGCTCACCCCTGGGAGCATCCAAGGGAAAGATGCCTAGTTAAATCAACGAAATGCCCACTTGATAATTTTCCCTATGCAAATGGCTGTTGGGTGTATTTCTAGGTCCCATAGACTGCCTACCTTGCTCGCACTATGGCTTAACCAAGTGTATGTCTTCTCAATTATTTGCCCTGGAGGAGACCCCACTTCTTTGAATCCTTGTGCATGTTGTACCACAGGTGTCCGTCTGTGATGGAGAAGAGGACAGGACCCACCTAATCTAGATTCTGGGCTCCCCCATGCATGGCAAACCATCCCTTCTCATTCCCCTGTTGGTGGGGCAGGCATCCCAGGCTCCACTGCAGTTGGAACTTTAGCCTTAGTTATGGGGGATAAAAGCTTTTAGGAAGTCAGTGCTCAAGTAGACTTAGACCTGAACCATCTAGAAAATTCTGTTTCCCATTAGACTCCTCAGTTGAGTTTGTTATTCAGAATTGAAGAAGACTGGACCTCCTCTTTAGGGACAAGGAGGTCTCTGTATGACACTGGGAGAAACTCATTGATTCTCTGTCAGTCAATCAGGGACAATTAGAGGAGGTTTAGCCATGGGCAGAAATAACCTTTAGGACAGAGAAAGGAGTTGTTAATAATCCAACAGCTGTTGCCAGTCTTTGTTTCCTGGTCCCCTTGGTTGACTACTCTACTTACAGTCACGGTTGGACCATTAATCCTTTGGCTCCTAGCCCTCGCTATAGGACCCTGCTTGCTCAACTCAATACTTAGCTATGTAAAACAGAGAATAAACTCTGTTAAACTACTAGTGCTAAAGAGACGATAAAACCCCCTACCTCCAGATGAGTCCATGATTTGACTCATGGCCACAGAACTAGTAGAGAATGTAACAGGCTCCTAGACCTTAGCACAACTGACGCCATGATGGAAGTACCACTCAGGCCTTAGAACCCAGCACATAGGCAGCAACAGTGGCCAAAATGAGAACAAAGACCAAATCCACCAGAGTTCATAGTTCTGGAAAAGTCCTTAGATGTACCAACCTTGCCTTTTGGTTTCTGCAGTTCTGCTTCTGGCTGACTGTTCTTGCTAAGCAAGGTGTCTCAGCCCAGGATGTGGTTTTTGTGCTTACAGGTTCACACTGAGAGAGGCTCAGGCCTGTACTCAGGTCCCAAACACTCAGTGTAATTGCAGACTGGCTAATATTTTCTATTGTCTTGAACCTGTGTCCCAGTGGTCTTCTCTACCTTGCAACAGTGTGATGTAACCCAGGCTGGCCTTGAATTTAGCAGGGCTGACCTAGAGATGCTAATCCTTCTGTTCCTAATTCTCAAGTGCTATGATTACAAGTGTGTGCTGTCAGGTCTCAACCCCCCACCCCCAACAACACCTGGGGCTCAGCTCAGACTGGTCTCTGACCCAGTGAACACTCAGCATTCCTCAGAAACCTTGTAAAGTGGGTTTCTGTTTGCCAAAAAGCCAATGCTTTCTTATCTGCTCTTACAGCGCCCATCCCTCCCCCAATCTCCCGGAGCCAGCTTCCTGTTCTCTATCAGCACAAAGGAGCTCTAACAGATTAGAGTCTGGCTGGTTCTCAGGTTGTTCCAGCTAGCCTGTCCTCCTCTCACTGAAGCACAGCCTCTGGCAGTATTCTTCCGCTATTTTTGCTTTCTTCTCTGCTCCTGAAGTCCTAGCAATTCTTGCAAGGAAGCAAGTTATTGCAGACTGTGGTTCCATAAAGCTGCTGAACTGGAAAAAGAGATTAGAAAACAATGACGAAGGGAGATGGATTTACTTGTAGTTTTTCGAGGGAAGGGGGGAGGGAGAGAGAGAGAGAGAGAGAGAGAGAGAGAGAGAGAGAGAGAGAGAGAGAGAGAGAAGCTAGCTTCTTAGCTTCTTAGCTCTTCCCTCCCTTTCTGTAGGCCCAATAAGGAATAATAAAATGGAATCTGTCTCTGCGTGGAGACATGCTACTGTCCGACTAAGAGTTAATCCAGGCGGGCAGGTCAATTCATAGCCAAAGAACCACTCTCAGAAAGAGTGATCCACCTTAAGCAGGAGGAATAATTATCCCTTTAATAAGGTGATGTACTTTTCCTTCCCGGAATCCCCACGGCCGGCACAGCCTCCTTCAGAGTGCAGCCACGCAGCTGGGTAAGTCTGCCCGCTTTGCTGAATGACTTACAGGAGCCTAACTCGTCTTCTTCCTCCCCTTCCTAGGCACGGCTTCCCTATGTGTATGGCTTTACTTTTTCTCTAAGGCTCCCATCCCTGCCACGGCTGCTTGCCCTCCCTGTGTCTGACCTCTATGCCTATTTAATTCAAACAGCATGGCTGCTGTCCCCTTCTCCATTCTCCTCCTCTGGGCAAGACTTACAGCTTACCACCTTGGGGGGTTCTTTTTAAAGTCCAGTAAAAATGTCCCGGCACTTCTATCTGACTATTTTAAAATTGTTTTATTAAAGAGAAGAAGACCCCCCCAATAGGGGGCCGTAATTTCCCTTGTATTTGTAGGCAGTGTTACAATTTTATGGAAAAGATGAAAGAAGGAAAGAAAGACAGGCCCCAGGAAATAAGCACACGTCGTCAGAACTATGTGAACCTTTCCTGGAATGTGAACCCCTCCCCTGCCTGATTGTAGCTTTTCCCCCAGCATGGGATTCCTGGGGAACTTTTGGTTCGTTGTTTCAGTAGGGTGATGGCCAAAGGAAGGGACCAGTTGTCTCTCCTTGGAGTATCTCCTCTGCTTCCAGGATAGTTACAAAGCCACAGATGTGAAGTTTAACAAATATGCATGGCCTTCTGCCATGGTGAAGGGACTGATCATAGCAGGTCCCACTCATCATCTGTGCACCCTCCTGACTGTGGAAACCCCCACTGTGGAGACTCTCATTCCTTGCTATTATTTATAGTTTCACCATCTATGAATATATACCAGACAAAATAGTTTGGCCTATTTCTGAATATCATGCATATACATACACCACACACACACACACACACACACACACACACACACACACACACACAAATTTTGTATCTGGAAGTATATTATGAGAGTCTCCCATGTTATTGCTTATAGCTATAGTTCCTATTTTAACTGGTGGCTAATACTCACATACAATTTACTCATAACACACTGAACACCTAATTTTGGTTGTGAAAATTCCCGTCATATTTTAAAAGTAAGAACAGAAAGTGCTGCCCCCTTGTGTTTTATGATGGTTATCACAACCTTTTGTATGATTCCTTTCTCAATCTTCAGAGGCAATCAACTGTCCCTCAAAGCAGCTAGAGTTGCAGAATGCCTTCTTGCTCAAATTGCACCTGTAAGGTTAGGAGGCCACATGATTCAATTTCAGGGAACTCTCCCGTGAAATGACTTTTGTTTCCAGAAGGAAGCTCAGCTCTGCCCAACTGCTGTGGTTTCTGTTATCTGATCAGAAAGGAATTTGGCACAAGTAAATTTGCAGACATGCAATGTACAGGTGCTTACCAGACACTATCATTCATCATGTGGTTAAGTCATGCACCAAGACTTACAGTGAAAGCAGAATAGAGATGTTCATCATATACACGTGATTGCACGCTCATGTCTCTGAGTACACATGTATGTGCAGGTATGTGTGTACCTGTGCACATGGTTGTGGAGTCTAGAGGTTGATGCTGGGTGTCTTCCTCTTCCACCTTATAGATTAATGGGGTGCGGGGCAGGGTCGTACTCGATACCAAGCTCAGTGGACCAGTACCTAGCTAGCCAGCTTGCTCCAGAAATTTCATCTTTTACTCTTGAGCAGTGTGGTTGCAGGCAGCCTGCTTTACCCACCTGGTTTTATGTGGGTGCTAAGAATCTGACTCAGGTCCTCATGTTTGCCCAGCAAGCACTTTTTTTCTACTGAGCCATCTCTCCAGCCTGTCACATTCATTTTACTGGGTGTTTCATTCTTGAGTTTACCTGGCATTGCTGAGTGCCAAATGTTCCTGTCAAAATACCATAAAACTAAACAAACACATTAACCTAGCAAATAACTACTTCTTAATTTATTTAATTAATTTCTCTTTTATTAAAAATAGATTTTTTCATACAATACATTCTGATTACAGTTTCCCCTGACCCTACACCACACAGTTCCTCCCCACCTCCCTTCCTGTCTGGATCCACACAGCTTTCTAAGGAATAATAATACAATACATTAATACAATAATATAAGACAAAAACAAACCACAGTCTACTTCTGAGTGTACAAGAATGATTTGTGGAAAACCTCTTCAAGACAATGACACTAGAAGCACAAATGAAATAATGAAATAACAATGCAAGTCAAGGGCAGGCCCTGGGGAGAGTACAGGACAGGCTTTGCGATGAAAGGGTTTGTGATGGTTTAAAAATGATGGAAAGATACTTGTGGTCCACTAGGATTAATATAGTAAAAGGACCAGCCTACCAAAAGCAAACTACAGATTCAATGTAATCCCCACCAGAACTCCCCCACCAGTTCTTGGCAGAAACTGGAAGGACAATTTTCAGTTTCATATGGATAACATAAACAATCCTAAATAATGGACTACTGTCTTAGTTGGGGCCTTGGTTGCTGTGAAGAGACACTGTGACCATGGCAACTCTTTCCTATAAAGGAAAACAGTAAGTTGAAGTGGAAGCTTACTGCTTCAGGGGTTTAGTCCATTGCCATCATTGAGGGGAGTATGGTGGTGTGCAGGCAGACATGGTGCTGTCTATATCTTGATCAGAAGAAAACAGGAAGTGCTCTAAGACACTGGGCATGGTTTGAGCATATATGAGGTCTCACCTCCACAGTGACACAGTTCCTCCAGCAAGACCACACCTCCTAATAGTGCCACTCCCTTTGGGGGCCATTTTCTTTCAAACTACCACAATTCCAAAATTTACTAGAGAGCTTTAGTAATAAAAGTAACATGATATTGGCACAGTATCAGACACATGGATCAACGGAATTGAACTGAAGACCCAGCCATAAATCCACAAACTTATGAATGCCAGATTTTTAAAAAATAAAAAAGCCAGAAATATACATGGAGAAAAAAAGAAAGTATCTTCAACAAATGGTGCTGGTCTAACTGGATGGTTGAATGTAGAAGAATCCAAATAGATCCATATTTATCACCCTGTACAAAAGACAACTCCAAATGGATCAAAGACCTCAACATAAAACTAGATAGATTGAACCTGATAGAAGAGAAAGTGGGACTAGCCTAGTATTCATTGACACAGGAGAAGACTTTTTAAACGGAACACTGATAGTGCAGGCACTAAGATCAACAATTAATACATACAACTTCATGAAACTGGAAAAGCTTCTATGTTGCAATGAACACCATCATTTGGACAAATGCCAGCCTACAAAACAGCAACAAAATTTTACCAATGCATTCCTGCTACAGAGCTAATATCCAACATACACAAAGAACTTAAAAACAAAAACTCTGGATATCAAGAAAGTAAACAACCCAATTTAAAAAATGGGGTATAGATCTAAACAGATTTCTCACAAGAGGAAACTCAAATGTTTAAGAAACGTAGAAATGTTCAACAGGGCTGAAGGGATAGCTCAGGGGCTAAGAGCACTGATTACTCTTCCAGAGGTCCTGAGTTCAATTCCCATTATCCACATGGCAGCCCACTACTGTCTGTAATTGTAGTCCCTTGGAATCTGATGTCTTCTTCTAGTGTGCTGATGTACATGCAGACAAAACACCCATATACATAAATAAATCGGGGGGGGGGGGGGAGTTCAACATTCTTAGTGATCAGGGAAATGAAAACCAAAACTACCTTGAGACTTCATCTTATATCAGTCAGAATGTAAGAGCAATGAAACAAATGACAGCTCATGCTGACGAGAGAGTAAGAACACGCCTCCATTGCTGGTGGGAATGGAAACTCCTACAGCCACTATGGAAATCAGAAGAGTGGGAATCGATTTATCTCAAGATCAGATATACTACTCTTGGTCTTATACCCAAAGGGCACTCCATGCTACTACACAGACACTTGGTCATCCATATTCATTGCTGCTCTATTCATAGTAGCCAAAATCTGGAGACAACCTAGATGTCCTTCAACAGAGGAATAGAAAAAAAATGTGGTACATTTACACAATGGAGTATTACTCAGACATTAAAAATAATGAAATGATGAAAATCTCATGTAAATGATAGAATTAGGGAAAAAAATCATCCTGAGTGAGGTAACCCAGACCCAGAAAGACATATGATATGTACACTTATGTGCAGATGAGTTGTTAAGTCAACGATAACTAACTTAGAATCCATGGATGCACAAAGGTTAGGTACAGAGTAAGGGGCTATGAGGGGACAGATAGTTCTCCCTAGGAAGAAGAAATAGAATAGACAGTTAAAGATGGATGAGGTGGTGGAATGGGAGGGTCAAGTGAGGAGGAAGAGGGAAGAAGGAAACGAGGGACGGACGAGGGGAAAAAGGGAAGGGGATATGGGGAAAGACATATTAAGGGCCATTTGAGAGGTCCTATGAAAAAACACAATACGGTAGAAGCTTCCTAAAATATAAATATATATGAAGGCAATGTAAATGTGTCAAATCGCTTGTCAACAAATGAAACTTCCAGTATTGGGATTATGTTACATCTAATTGAGTTGTTAGGGTCCCCCAACATGGAAACCCCCAAATAATCTATGCTGTTGCTGAGACTCGAAATTGCTCTCCACAAACTGACAGCAGGCCCTATTGCTGAAGACACCACCTACACAATTCATTGAACATGGAGAAAGTTGAGCTGGTGCCTACTTTGCTTTTACCCCTACATTCTAGAGTCTTCAGTACATAAAGGTACTCTGCATGCTACAAAAAGAACAAAGTAAACACCAACCCAGTCACAACAATTTGATCAACATTGGTGTCCTGATTGAAATACTTGCTAGTGCAACAGTGGCACAGATGTTGTAGGAGTAACTTAAGACCTACTTATTTTACAAGATGGAATTCATACTAGACACTGCTTAGGTAACCAAGAATCTGAGACTAGATAGCTTGGGGGCCTTGGGTAAAACCAAATATTATTGTTTCCAAAAAACAGCAATAAAATGATTCCTACTGACATTCTGCTATACTCATAGATAAGTTAGCATATTGTTCA